AGAGTCGAAGATGCCCTCGGCATCTCTTTGTGCTCTGTTGTATTCACGCCTCCAGTGGGCACAATGGTCACAGGCGTCTTCTGACGCCCTCGAGTTATCAGACCATGCCCATTTGGACAGTCTGGACGAGGAGCCACTGTCGCTCCCTCGTCTCCCTCCTACAAGGGACTTCATCTCTTTCAGCTCCTTGCGGAGCTGACCTGTCTGAGCAGCTACTGCTGACATGATGGCTGATTCCCAGCCTGCATTTGGCTGGGGTGTTGTTGGACCTGGGCTGAATTGGCCAATCCAGGGGTTGATCTGGCCAGGGAAGTTCCCTGGGGAGTATGCCTGGGGCTGCAGCAGCAAATGCTGCCCCTGGAATGGAGCTTGTTGTGCCATCGGTGCAGTTTGCACCACATATGGTTGGAAGCCCCTCTGAGGAGGCTGGGGGTATGCGGTGCCTGTTAGCAATGCGGATGGTTGTTGGTTCACGGCACTCATTTGTGCTGCATGCGTTGTGTAGTCCATGGCGCTTATCTGCACCTGGTGTTGTTGTTGTTCTGGGGAGCCTTGCTCCCCAGGTTGTCATATTTCGATGTCCAGTGGCTTGTTTGGATCGAACTGAGGGTTGCCTCCCCCAGAGAACGACATTTCATCATTATGTTTCTTGTGGTGGTGGGAGGGGTTTTCGTTCTTGCATGCATGGGATTCGCCGCAGTTGTGTGTTCTTTTACATGTGAGCCTGTGGTTCACGTGGTCTAGGCGAGTTACTCACCTGGCCCATGTGATCTCTAGTACATGGTGTGGCTGTCCGGGCAAGTTACTCGCCCAGAACTTTCCCACACTCTTGGCTGTGGGCCATCATCCCTTGGCTTTACTTCCTCTGCCTCCATTTTTGGGGGCATAGTGATGCCAAGAGTTCCCTGTCTTCTTTGATAGGGAGTTTTAGAACTGGGTGAGGGCAGACGATTCCAGAGGGGAACTGGAGACTTAGCAAGGAGGGACCTTGGCCTCAGCGACTCAAGCGGAGCGCTGTGCCATTGCTGTTTGTCCATTTGGTCCTTAATTTCATAGGTGGCGAGCAGGAAGTCTCTAGGGGGCATTTCAGGTCGATTTTAGACTAAGGGCCTAAAATGAGTATGTACAAGCACCAATATATAATGGAGAGGGCAAAAGCACAAGGGAAACAAAGGGGGTCTGAATCGGAACAAAGGCATCCAAACAGGAACAAAGGGATGACAGGAGCAGAGCGGTACCAAAGGTCATTGGGCAGAACCTGTGGTACATCTGAAAGGAGGTAGGGAGGGCGAAGCCCAGAGGGGCAGGAGGATGAGGGGAAGTGGGGATGATGAATAACTGGCTAGAATGGAGAGAAGCAGCAGTCCAAATAGGGATGAGGGGAAAACACGAAAGATACATTACAGATGGCGAAAATGCCAAGTATGGTCCATGGGGCTCAGGGGTTACTGTCAGGGCACACACCCTGACTAGCCCGGACCCGGACCCGCTTCCGGACCCGCTTCCACCCACCGTGCTTCCTGCACCCACACACGCTCCACATGCCGCATGCTCCAGGCCCGGTTCCTACCCCTTCATGTGACTTCTGGGTATCCCCAGAAGTTTTGCTGATATTGTGGCCACTGTGGGAAGATGAGAAGTTAGCTTCCTTCTCATCTCCTTACCCACAGTAGGCAAGTGTATTCTACATTGCCTTTATCTATACATCTCCTTACCCACAGTAGGATTGTGCCCTGGATCGGGCTGGCCAGACCAGAGACTGTGGACCATAGGGGAGGGTCATGGGGACCTGGGAGTCGTCCCCTGACAGTTACGGAGCTTATGGAGGTTATGGAGGTGGGGTTGAAAGTCCAAGGAATATTGGCAATGGTGTTTACATAGTATGAGGTCACCAATGCAATGGACTAAAGCTGAGGTGGAGTCAAGGTCCGAGGTGGGAGCTATGACGGAATCTCGGAGCGAAGGTACAAGTGTAGTCTGAGTACAGGGTACGGGACAGCAGTGGAAGGTCATAACTTGGTGGAGGGTCGGCAGAAGAGGGTCAGAGGGAAGAGAGAGGAGAGGAAAGGGGAGAGGAGTGGAGGAGAGGAAAGGTGTCAGGTCCGAAGGTGAGTATCGGAGCGGACAGGAGAAGGGTAGGAGAGTGACGGAAGGGTGGAGGTGTTGTGAGGAGGAAGAGGAGGAGTGTGAGGAGGAGGGTGGCAAGAGGAGTGGTGTTCAGTCCAAGGTGAGTATCGGGGCGGACAAGGATAAGGTAGGCGAAGGATGGAAGGGTGGAGGTGGCATGAGGGGTGAGGGGTGGTGTGGTGTCAGGTCTGAAGGTGATTATCGGAGCGGACGGCAGTAGGGTAGGACTCTGGAGGTGGTGAAGATGGAGGACTGGGAGTCAGATTGGGATCGGGTATGTATGGATATGACACCCTGCCCCCACTGTCCAACCCTCTCCCTCCTCCTTCCTCTGTCTCTCCTCCCCTTTCCTTTCTCTCTTTCTTCCCCTTTCTTTATCTCATTCCTCTCATCTTCCTTTTCTTGTTTATTTCCTTCTATCTACATGGACCACCTTCCTCTGTATCAATGTACTATTGACCCGTCTGGCCCACACACCCCAGATGGCTTCCCGCTGTGCCCAGCATGCGCGCATGCAGTGGATGCTCTTGGGATCCCCCACAGGGATACCCAGATGCCTGTGGCTGTCTCCAAGGGTGATGTGGCACTCGTCATGTGACTCAAGCCGCATGTACATAAATGTACCTGAAGTGGGAACCGAAGAAGTAACCTTCTTCTCACATTCTCCACTTCAGTCTAAGTGGCCAGGGACTGCTGTCCCTTCCCGGACCTGCCAGCACACACGCCCAGTTCGCACCCCACGAGGGCCCTTCTGCCAGGCGATACATCCGGACCCCTTCTACCCCGGACGCGTCCCTGACACCCCCTCATTGTTGAGCTGGAGACACACCTGAAGGGGATCCTTCAGATGATCGTGGAGGGTGCCCAATTGGACTCTGAGTCAGGGATGACATGTAGGGAACGTGTACAGCATGCATTGGGGGCTGCACTGCAGGCGTGCAAGCATGTGTCATTGATATGGCATCTACAACAGAAATAGAGATAGGTTCATTCAGTTCTGGCACTTCCAATGGGTAACAGACATGAAGCGTCAAACGATGAAAAAAGGGCCTCACTCACCTCTAGCATCTCCCTGCCACATGTTTCATGCCTCACGCTGCCCATGCAAGACCAAAGCCCATTGCATGCATGTCGAAAACCAAGCACTGGGAGCCTGTTTGGGATGCCCAGGTCACACTGGAGCATGGTTGAACTGGTTTGGGGGCTGTCAGAGTACAGCCCGGTTAAGTCCGGACTGCTTACACACAACTGATGACACACCTGCCCCATACCCGCACAGCCTGATCATCATCCCTGGACTGGCACAGACATTTGTTATATTTCCTTCTGTAGAGCGGCCCCACTTTGCCGGGTATACTGACTTTCTCATTCTGTTAGAACTGGGCGGAAACAGACGACTCTGGAGTGGAATCGGAGACTTAGCGTGGAGGGACCTTGGCCTCAGCGACTCAAGCGGAGCGCTGTGCCATTGCTGTTTGTCCATTTGGTCCTTAATTTCACAGTAGGTGAGCAGGAAGTCTCTAGGGGGCATTTCAGGTCAATTTCGGACTGAGGTTACAAGTTACTAGGTACATTGTATATAAGGAGGGGTCCGGAATCAAAAGGAACAAGGGTAGGACAAAAGGAGACAAAGGGAGATGGAAAGAGGAACAACACCGAGGGTCAAGTGTTTGACTCAATGGTGTTTCCCAAAGGAGGAATGAAGGGCCAGGGCCCAAGGAGGAAGGAAGGAGGTTGGGAGTGGGGAATGGCTAGCTGACTGAATAGAAAGGAAGCAGCAGCCCAAATAGGAATGAGGGAGAATAGCGGAATTGAAATGGACAATGCAATAGTTGCAAGGTCCGGAGTAAGTCCGGAAAGTCCGAACTCGGAGGTTAAACTCCGGAATATTGGCAAACATAATTAAATGGAATGAGCTAACCAATACAATGGGTATAAGCGGAGGTGGGGTCAAAGTCCGAGGTCGGAGCTAAGACCGGAGGTTCCGGAGATGGAGACGCGAACGGGACTCCAGAGCGGAGGTCCAGAGTCGGGAGCATAGGTTTTGTGTACTCATCTGGAAGGTGTCGAGGTTGGGGTCGGACCCGGAATGTTCCGGAGTCAGACCGAAGGTGGTGTCCGAGCCGGAGGTGGGATAACCTCTTGGGAGTCGGCAAGGAGAAAGTGATGGAAGGGAAGTAGGGCTCCGGAAGTCGGAGTTCGGAGTTCCAGGAGCCCGGAGCGGAGGTCGGGATTGTATGGATATGACACATTCCCTGGGTAGCGAGTGAGGAAGATAACTTTCTTCTCTCACTTCCCCTTGCTGCTCAGGTATGTTGTACATAGTATATACAATGATATGATCTCACTTCCCCTCGCTGCTCAGCTGGAATCCCTATTGCAATCTGCTTTGCCAGGTTCCCCCATTGAGACTGATCCTGTCCCTCTCGGCCTCAGCTCCAGCGAAGGCTCGGGATCCCTTGACTTAGAGTCTGAGCAGCTCGGTACCCTGACAGGGGCCAGCCATGCGACCCCTTGCCGGGTCTGTCCTGTTTCCTGGTTTTCCAAATGAAGGCCGGGGCACAAAAGCTCCCAGCGACAAATGCGGTAGGCATGTGAGGCAGTGGGGGATTTTTGTTTTTAATCATTTTGCGTCATCGAACTGAATGGAAGAAAAAAACGAAAGAGACCCGGAATCAGATTGGGAGTTGGGCGTGAGAACGACCCGGTTAAGTCGATTCGACCATTCAATCGTTAAAACGTAGGAGATATCGTGACATAAAAATTTTCTGTGCTGCCTCTGCACCTTCAGCTAGTTCTGAAATGAATTTTTTATTTTGCGAAGGTTTTTTTTGGGTCGCACATGACCTTTGCATCACGCTCTGGGGGTTCGGTTTAGGTTTAGTAATAGTCCTTATCTCCTTATCAGCCATGTCCTCAATAGCGAGTCCCTGGAAAATTCACAACTCAACTTGCTAGGTCCTCTAGAAAGGGGTCTCTCAATTCGAGGCCTTCAGTTGCCTCTGCCGTTAGATCTCCAAATAGTTACCTTCACCCTCATTCCCTTTGATTTCCAATTGCGCACCTTTGTCTGCTCAGCATCCTCACTCCCCACCAAAGACCAATCCTTTGACTTAGAAGTCAATTCCCGCAATCGGTAGTCTACTTTTATTTGCCATTACCAAACAAGGGGTGCGTTAGTGCTGCCCTGTGGCAGACCGGCTCTTTCTGTCCTGCTGGGTCACCCTACACCTTCTCCCTTGGATCTCTTCACTGTCTTTATCCCTTCACACATGGTGAATATTGAGCCATGTCACCCGTCGATGAACTACTACAAAATATCAAGGAGAGACTGCTGCAAGTTGACGACAGGATTCTTGACGGTCAAGTAGCTATACCGCATAATCGAGCATGGTCCTTTGGGGTGATATACAAGGGAATCTACAACACGGTTCGTATATAGACACCCCAAATCAATATTCGTGCTCGAACTGCCTTCTCACGCGTCTCTCTAGGAAAAGGTTTGCATCAAGGCTTTCAGATATGTCGATCGTGATCCTGTCAGCGAATTTCTTCACGTATGTTAACTCGTACATGAGAGACAATCCGCTGCCATTCATTCGCAATCCTTCAAGCGACTGGTTCGCGAGATGAGGGTGTGGCGCCAATTGACGAATACACATATAGTTAAGCTTCATGGATGGATATCATACCTTGAAAGCACGGAAGATCTATGTCCGGGCTTGGTGTCAAATTGGTGCGACGAAGGGAATGTCAAATCTTATCTACGGCGCCGTCAGGACGCTGATCGCCAAGCCTTGGTGAATCGACCTCTGCACTTTATGGACCACTTACTCATGTGCGCTATTTTAGATCTGCGGGATTGCTCATGGCTTAGCATATCTCCATTCCCGGGAGATAGTGCATGGCGATATTAAACCCGTGAGTCCTTGTCATGTCACACATCGACATAATCAGTAATATCATCGTCAGCAAAATGTTGTCGTGAGCAGTGAGAAAACACCGCAGTTATGCGATTTTGGCCTTTCATTCATTATTTCGGACAAATCTACATATATCGACGCCACAAGCATGGGTCAGTTTGGGACTTGGCGATACTTGGCACCTGAAGTGTGCATGGCCGAAGAACCCTTTCGCAACATGAAGAGTGATGTCTGGGCATTCGGATGCACAGCCATGGAGGTACGCATATTCCAACGCATTTTTGGCTCTGGGAGCTGAGCACTGTGCTCAGATACTTCGCGGTGTGCGGCCATATCCTACCGTTGAGAACGATGCCCTTATATGGGCCATCGGAACTGCAAAGCCACCATTTACTAGTACCCCTTTTTCAACGGACCCTAGTACTGAGATTATTCTCACTTCCTGCTTCGAACCTGATCCCGACCTTCGAAACGAAATGCAGACGGTTTTCGAATCGCTGACGACAAACCATTCCGCAAGTGGACGGCCCATCTGTTGCTCAGTAACACATTCTTTTAATCATACGCCAGTAGGCCAACCCTGCCATTCTCGGTATTCCATGGGCGAGGGGACTCCTGCTCGATCTAAAGTCATAACCGATGACATTCCTTGTTTGGATCTCTTAATGACTGATTAGAGTTGCTGATTAGGCTTGCGTACCATGGAGGCTTTACCTTCACGCATAACTTTGAGATGCAGCCACTGAGAGCGCGGCCCATAATTGGAGCGGAGGATTAAGGCCCGCAGCTAGACTGGGAAAGGCAAAGAGTGGGTCCGCAATTAACCGCCGTCTATCAACTTTCGATTGATGAAAATGGTGATAAGCTGTCGATACGATAATGGGGAGATGGTGGCTTAGCATAAATATATCGTTTTCGTTGCACATTCTTGTGGTCTCACTGCAGTTCGAAAAATGCTACTTCGAACATACAATCCGTGAACGATCAATTAGAACTCGGCAGTGGCAACGTATATCTGATTGCGTACCAGTGGTCTTGGTCTCCCGAGATGCATTGTACCTGGGTGTCATAAGAACATTGATCGAATACTGCCTGTCTCGCCAACCAAAAGTCCATGTATCGCATCGCGATGCCGATTCGATTGGCACTGGCTGGATCGAGCTTCGAGAAATGACCTTGGCTTCCAGCTGTTTCCAACTGGCTTCGCTTCGCCGTAGGGTGGAGTGATGCCTCACATGGCTCAAGCACTCAAAAGTTCGATGATATTTCGATCCAACTGACCCCACTGAATAACTGGTGGACGCCGCCTGGCGCGGCAAGTACCCGCTACTCATTCCGCCTTGATTTTGATCATTAATCTCAGATATCACGCCGTGTAGCTATGTACATACTTCCGAACTACATTTGATTCAAAAGAAAACAATGGGGTGCCATCTATTTCATTCGAAGGTTGATCAGAGGCAAGCACCCACATTCTTGGCTTGGACACACACCGTGAACACAGGCGTCCCGATCTGAAAGTGTGCGAAATGGAACGTAATACACATCGCTGCATTGGGCATCTGGTTGAGCAGGAAATACTATGACGCGACCCTTGAGGGCTCTTTGAGCAGTAGGAAGTGTGGATGAGGAGGTGGGTCCTGCAGTGTGTGTGAGACGTGGGGACCCATTGTCTTGCAGATGTATGATCCATGTTTTGGCACGCCGTCGAGCAATCAGTGCTTCTTCAAGTTCACGGAATTGGGAATGGGGCCGAAGTAAAGATCATTGATGTTGCTTGAGAGATCGATGACAGACGTTGCAAATGCGGATCACGAGGGATTGGGTATGGGAGGCAACACCTGCCAGACATAACATGATATGTTGCAGCAGAGGATAATCGAGAAAAGGGCGAGGAGCGTGCAAGGGATAGTCACCATGGAGTAAGTGGTAATCGTAATTGTTCAAGTCTACAGGTTGAGGAAGCATCTGGTTGAATAATTTGGACTCAGCACACACCGCACAAATGAATCTGGCGAGACGATGTGAAGATAGAAGAGAGTAAAATGTTTCACTGAGTTCGTCTTGGACATAGAAGAGAGCTTTTCCGGCCAACGAGCAGCACATTGAAGGCACCATTCTTGTGAAGGATCCATGTCAGAAGGGAGAAAAGACGGAAACTGTTCGGCGATGAAACGAAGCAAACAGTGACAAATAGATTGCATATCTGCACGCGAATCAATGGGCAAGTGAAGGTGAGCGATAAAACGACGGAGACAGCCCCAACGAACATCAGCCCGTGTGAGTTGAGTTAAAAAGTTGGCTAGATGGTTTGCGCGTTCTGACCGAATGTCAGTGGTCGACATCGAGAACGAGAAGGCTGTTCAGAGTGTGAGATACGACCAAAATCACAGTGAGAGTCGGTGACAATGTGGTCAAATACAATGGAGCGTAATTGGACACGATTGAGAATATTTGGAATGTGATGATAGACATGGTGGAAAGAGCCACTAAGTCTTGATGATTAATTTGATCCAGATGACGAAGAACGGTGAATGCATCAGGAAATGCAGTGGGGATTTGTTGAAAGCATTGAATAATGCCATGGGATACCCACTTACGGATTCATTGGCATATTGAACACCTAGTGCAGCACCAACCAAGGTTTGGTGTTGAAGGGAGAAAGATCGGGAGAGAAGGAAATCATGAAGTCGTTGGAGATGATCATCAATCGGCGGAAGCTGGTTAGATTCTTCAACACATCCAACAAATGGAGAGTTGTAACAGTGAGCATGCAGAATATGATGCATTAAGATGCATTAAATGTAATCGCGTGTCATTGGTCGTTAACAATGTGAAATATAAACCATGAAGCTATGTGTAATGAGTGATGGTGAGTGGATCGAGGTCCAACGCACCATTCAAAAATGAGTACATCCACAAATCTGCATGTATGGTTTAAAGAGTGGATCAGAAGAGATGCACAGAGACTCACTGAAATCAGAGGAAGTGGTGATGCAAGGTGGATGGTCTTATGGCGTGAGTTGCATTGTAGCGGAGTGAGCCGAAATCCTATTGTCGTATGGTCAGAATGGGAAAAAAGGACCCTAGGTTACAGAGGACCCTGTGCACAGAGTGGGGCCTAAATTTGCAGGACCCGCTACGGAGTAGCGGGAATAGAGGTCAGAAATGGAAGTACCGCATAGAAAGATAGCCATTACGTCGTAACCAATAAAGTTATTTCAAATTACCCCGCACATACCCAAGTACGCGCCATTTCATTAACGCGCCATCCCCGCGCGCGCACACCCTACGTTTTCATCACGCTCGGCGATTCAATCCGGTCTCACCATTTGTACACGGAGAGCCGGAGCAACTTGATCTCTAGATTGGATGTTGGCAACCCACGGGCGTCATCTAGCCTGCATATGTTCCTCCCGCAGCAATAACCCATACAGCCTGGTTAGGGGTTGTCTTTCTGCCGAGAAGGAATAAAACATGTCCTTATTGCGTCGTGTATTCTCCAAGCTCGTGCCTAGCCCCTCTGTGAACTCGTTCCAGCTCTAGTTGGCACACGGTCCATCTAGCTGTGTACCTGGTGCGAAGAACATGTGTTATCCATGTTCCAAACGCCGGGGCACCTCAACAGCGTTGCGAGTCACGTAAACTGCTAGGTTTTTTCATGCCTCCCATCTTCGATCACCCCCCTTATGGTCAAGGTCAGGCCATGCAACCGCGCCTTAATGCAGCCCCGGATTCCATGTACCCGCCAAGGGTGAGCTGTAATATGAGGCAAGTTAATCTACTGTTTTGGGTGGACCTTTACATTCGAAGCCGGCAGTCGTTCGAAAGCCGAACGCAAGAGTGTTCCATGCCAGCCCTTTGTTGGACATGGGAATGCATACGCGCTGGAGGTGTCTGCGGCACGGACACCTAACCCGGTTGCGTTGCGTCTGTACCGAGCTTAGATACGAGTGCAGAAGCAGCTATGACTGCTGTATTCATCCACGATCGTTCCCTACCTATGCACCTTACCTCACGAATTTTCGCGACCGGCGTCGATTTCACCAGTAATTGCAAGTCTCGACCACTAGGATATGTACTCGGCGATCAATTTGCACCCACTCGTACGAAGGCATCTCTGAGCAACTTGCTGCGCGCATAGCCTTGCTTTATTTACTGCCTCGGACACCAGGATTCCTTGCGGCAATAGAGAGCACAACTTTCCTTCTCGATTCAAAGGTCGATAACATCGTCGAGTTCCTCGCGTAGCGTGAACGCTGAGATATTGTTTCATGTACACTTTCTGGACAGCACTCGACTTTCCCAGCTGTGGGAGTGCTCACCCAGTCTGACGCAACACCGATGGGTTCGTGATCCCGCAATGACTCAAGCAACAGAGGCTCTGTCTTCTGTGGTTCCGAATACCCCATGATCCAAGAAGTGTCGCTTCCACGGAAGAAGAGGTTCGGTTCGGTCAACCCCTGGGTGTTGTGGGAGCTCATTGGACCTGATTGCTAGGACTCTGACCCGTGCCTATCGCTTGGTAATGCGTTCGGTATGATGGCAGTTGCCACGGCGCAGGGAAACGTCCGGCTCGTCAATTACAAGGTTATAGCTGTTGTTAGTAAGCGCGCAATTCTACCGAGTTGACGTTTTACAGATATCGAATGGAAAATTCGGGAAAGAGGGAATACTTCAATTATAGAACTATCCTACCACATTTCTCATTCCCTCGGCGAAGGTGAAATTATTCCCAAGGTAAAGTAATGAGCGGCTGTAAGTTGAGCATGCAGAATGGAATTACAGTAACACAGTGGAATAAAGAAAGTTGAGTGGAAAGATATGTCATGTATGTGTGAATCCTTCCTACCTTCCGGAACTCCATGAATGAAGTACGTCAGAATCTCGCATCCCACTCAAATCCACTGGCGAAGGCAAACGAATTTGGCTGATATCAACAACAATTGGGGCTCTTCGCTGACCCTGGAGTAGAAATCGAGTTCCATCTCTGCTGGACTGAGGGCGGTAGAGCCCCATAACATCAGGTGGTATTCGATCACCATACCAGGCACAGGTTTCATGGGGTTCAAAGTCCACTGGAACTATGAGTTCTACACTGCCGTTAATCCACACTGATGAGGACTCGATTAACGGGGTTCTTCCTGTAACAGATGAATGGACACTGGAGGGCAGGATTCCTCTTGAGATGCTTGGCGAGAAGTCGTAAAATGGACACTTGATCCAGGACTCATCTTCTGAATCAGGCCCTGCATCCGCCTCGGAATGAAGTGTATAAGCTGCCTTGCCTTCTACTGGAGGCACGAGATATGAGCCACTCGGAGGGATGATACTGGACCTAATAATCCAAGAATCGAACTTCGTCACGCAATAAGATGCAATGAATTCACACGACTTCGTTGACCAGGTGAAAGCTCGGATCCCATCAAAAGCACCAATATATTGCGCTCCTGGTGAGAACCCAAGCGTTCGACGGTGAGGTGTGTGCAACCCGACATGAATCAATGGGGAGGACAGAGAGGAGGGGGAGGAAGGCGAGGCAAGGGGCTGAATGGATGGATCCTCAAGAACAGATATGAGTATCATATTGTCGTACCATGGGTTGTCGAAATTTTGTGGAACTCGTATGACAAGTGATTCATTATCTGATACTGCAGTTCCAGCAGAATAGGGGCCAGTGGGAAGGGTGCCCAGTTTCACGGGGGTCATGTCATGGCCGAGGACTGTGACGTGTCCACCAATGTCCTCAGTAGCAACTCGGTGGCTACCATGGACAAACTCGATCCAGATCGGGGGATTGGCTGGATCGTGCTGCAATCGGCAGACCGTACATTGATGGTCAATATCGGCAACTTCAATAATACCGTTGCCAAACCCAAGCGCAACATAGCGGCCATCAAGGGAGAGTGCAGCGCATACCACTATGACATTACGAATATCAGGTTCGTGGAATTCAGCTTCGTAATTGACCACCTCAATTCCCGATTCGTCAATCTCCCGTAGTTTACGCAACTTTGCCTGCATAGCCTCTTGGGCGCTGAGCAAATCCTCGCTTGACGGGATGGTGTCACCAGAGAACTCGCCAAAAATGGAGAAGATCCGGATAGGGTCCGAAAGAGAACCGTATAATTTGTAAATGGATGATGAGAGTGGAGCAAAAGGGAGGAACGATCGATAGAGATACGATGGCCCGTGCTTGGCGATATGGTTTGCCGCCGGTTCCAAATCTCTCAAAGCTTGGATTGAATTGTGATGCTATCAAAAATGACATCACATCCTTGAAACATGAGATGAATGGTTTCGACTTACGTCAAATTTACGAAATCCTTCAGGAATTTGGATGAAGCGCGGTTGCAACTGCGCTAATGTCAACAAGTTTCGTGTAATGAACGAATCAAACTCGCTCCGTAATTCATTGGACTCTTCAGAAAAGAGTTCCGAAGGGTCCAAGTGCTCTAAAAAATTGTAGGAACGGATATAATCGTCATTGCCTTTCACCATAAATCCTTCCCATTTTCGTCTAACTCCTAAAGGAAGATCGGTGGGTACCCCAAACGCGTTCTGCTCACAACGGCTATTGAAAAGTCGAAGGAGCGGCAATCCAAGGGAGTATCCTTCTACATCATTGATGAAGAACACTTCGTCCCTCTCCTCGCCAATTGGATCCCCCGTTATGAACTCTTTTGCCGTTGCATGATAGAAGTTGACACGCTCCGTGTTTCGTGAGGGAAGATGTATCATGGAGCTGATCGGTTCCAACATTGCACGGATGTCATCCTCGGCAATCCCAAAAAGCTGCGATATAAGGGACACAGTAATCGACTTGCGCGCCACAACAATCGCGCCCACCACTGAGCAATACTTCTTGGCCACATCTGGGTGAATTTCAAGTGAATCCAGCATATAGGCTTGTCGAAGTATTCGCAAGTACTCCCAGTTGAAGTCGGCAGGCGCATCGGCAAGAGTGAGCAAGTTCTGAAATGCCAACTGTAGGGTGTGGCCACGCCGTGTCTGCAGGCGAACATCGCGAACCCAGATAGATGCCATAACAGGCGACTGGCGACAAGCCCGCGCAAGGGCGTCAAGTTCTCCCTCTATTGGTTTCCATGGAGATTCATCGATGAGATCCCGAAGACCTTCCTCGACCATAACGTAGATTGTACGGAAAGTGTCATCGTACGCTATCTCATCCACATCTTCACATGGTACGACAAGACCCTTAGTTCGAGCTTCCGACCAAGCTGAAATAACTCCTGGCTCAGGACGACAGCTAACTAGCACAGAAAACGACGGTGGCAGTTCCTGAAGGGTAAGTACCAGCTTCATCAAATGCTCGAGCGCCTCATGACTCCCGCACTCGTCAAGACCATCCAAGACGATGACGAAGCGATCCTTGCCTGAAGACAGCGTGTCCTCCAGGTCGCGCATCGGCTCAATAATCAGGGCCTTCATTTGTTTTTCTAGGAGGAAACCCTGAACTAAGGCCAAAGCCGGGTGTCGAAGGTGTCTGATAAGCGACGCTTTGAAGTCCTTATTGAAGGATGCAAGTTGGTGGGCAAGGGTAGAGGGGAATTGTTCGATAGAATCCAAGCCTAATCCTGTCTGGTTCTTGTTCCAAAAGAATGACGCTGCCAGAATACCCTCTTTCTCAAGTGCGGATGCGACACTCATAGAGATCGCAGTCTTCCCCATCCCAGGGGAGCCCCTTAACCAAATGAATCGGTTCTCGACCTCCTTCAGGTGCTTGTGTAAGGATTCTTGTATCCCGACCCGTGTGCCTGAAAGGCACTCTGATTTGTCCCTCACAGAAGTATATTCGGCTGGGGCTCGCGTGAGTCTCGGAAGCTCGGCTAGAAGTAAAGGTGGTTCAGCGGTCTAAATGCAAATGTTTGGGATGGAATGTACTTTGTGATGATAACTCAGCAATCGTGTGTCGAACAGACCACCGTTGCTTCCTACCCCGCGAGCCAACACTGAGAGGTGGAAAAGAGAGCATTGTTCCTGCGGGGCCGTCATGATCTCTGTGGGTCCTTCCATCATTTGCGGTCGCGGTGGTGATCTGAATGTTGGGCACAGGGGTTGAGGCCTGCAACGGACGGTTAGGACTCTGAGGCCTGTTGGGCCGGAATCCAGGATGTCTGCGCATGGTCAAATATAGCTAACTTAGCAACCACAAAAGTGTGTGTTGAAGGGAGCAGGTGGCTCAACTACTGTCACGATATATATGTGTGCCGCGAGGCAGCATGGACGTAACAGGTAAGACGACGTTGGCCTGCCAGAAGCTGAGGCAATGACGAATAGCTTCTCATGAATGTTGCACCGTTTGAGTTTCCAAGCGTGGCGAGAAGCCGGGCCCACTTAGGCCAAACTTAGGCATACTGCAACTGGCACGACCAACAACCGGTTCTCCGGGACTTGCCGGAGGCTGCTAATCAATTCAAATCAAGGTCCTCGCGTGACGCGTGACCGGTGCCAGTACAGACTTCTAGTAGACCTGTGTGGGGAATGCCGTCGCTGCATTTGTCATGGTAGGTATGGCTAGGGTTCTGAGTGGGCACTCCCTCCGCAACGCTGTTGTTCGCCGCCAACCTATCCTCGTAGAATGCGCTTCAAGCGCCACCCCAAGCAAAGTACCCCCAAGTTACCATCCAATGACACACCGACGGCGGGGAACTCGAACCCCCCAGGCCTTCGGATCCGTTCCGCCGATTCCCGGGCCCACACTCACCACAGTTCGTCGATGCCAAATGTCGCCACTCACCCATCGAATCCTTTGCTCAGTGTGATGCGTCGCGCAGCCAGGCCAATTCGGAGATTCCTGGGACGCAATGCCAGTTCAGTTCAAGAATCCGGCGTGGGACCTGGTGTCACTCAGCTTTCCCCTGACTCAAAATCTACTCCATCTCTCCTTCCGTCCGATCAGAATATCCGCAAAGTCCCTTCAGCGTCCAACACATCGACCGTGGGCAGTGATAAAGCGATTTGCCATCCACAGCCAGCTGCAAAAAAGGATTACTTGGCTCCCTTAGCGGTGCCCACGTTAGACTCATCGTCCGCTGCCTTGGCTGGTGATGGGACGGAAACGGTCCTCGGTGTGATAAAACTCTCCCTCCAAACCGCAACCTCTGTTCTCAAATTGGTTCCCATCGCACATCTCGACGAGATCCCAACATTGCTTCTGAGCTGGATTCAAATCTACGAGGTTCGTGGATTATCTAGGGTTGGTCGCCAATACTTATCTTCTGTCAGACCGTTCGAGGAAATTCTGATGACCTAGATGGGTTGTGCGAAGGGATTCATAAAGCATGGCATTCAGTGGTCGAACCCATCCAGAATTGGCGCGGCGACAGGCCACCAGAACTGGAGACGTTAGTGTTCGATTTTCGCAGGTGCATGTCTAGTCCCATCGCTCTCCTCATTTCCTTTATTGAATTCATCCATGCAGGGCCTTGGAAAAACAATTTGGGAATGTCATTTTGCTACTGGGCCAAAATGTCATCAAGAAGACAGTTCGAGTGACCGATATAGCTCAGCAGATCACCACCATGAGGACCTGCCTAAACGATGCCATATACCGCTTCCAGGTATGTGCAATCAACTAATGCTGTTCCAATGGTAGCCCAACCCAGTCTTTTCCGTGAAGTTGAGGATTTCCACCTTGGATTTTCTCCACACTCAAATTACATGTTACCTTAAGTTGAAAGTGATATGAAAGCATCACACAAGAGGGGGTTGCTCTAGTTGATTTCAGACTAAGGTCCCTGAAAGTATTTACAAGGTATCAATAAGGGAGAGAAATCATGGGAAGGGCCAGTTGGTCCAGTGCAGAAATGAGTGGGGATTATCAAAGACAAGAACCCAGGTGAAGAATGAATAAGTAAATATTGACACTTGATCTGCTACTATATTGGCACCCAGGTTGTCAGTTGCCTCCCTACTTTGCCTCTCTGTTTAATTGTTCATTCCACTCTCATTCATTCTCTCACTCTCTGTCTCCCTGGTTCTCATCCCTCATTTAGTTTGTCATGTTCACCGCTCTGCCTCCCATTCAGGTGCCAGACTGACCAGCCCCTCTTCTGTTCTCCTTTTCGTATTTATGCATTGTAGATAGTATACTATCTATGTACCCCAGTTTGAATGTCAACTAGAATACCCCCCAAGTCCTCTTGTCCATAGTTGTCAGGGACAGCTCTGAAAGTGGCAAAGTCCCAGCATGGGGGACTCGATGGGACAAGTAGCGGCTATGCATAGCAGTGGTCCTGTCATGGGGTGAGCATCCCTGACCACTTAGTCTGAAGTGGGAAAGTGAGAAGAAGGCTGCTTCTTCTGTTCCCACCTGTCAGAGACCAGGTTGAGACGAGGGAATGTCTCCATGGTGGAGGGCTTCAGCCTCAGCAACTTATGCCAGGAGCGCTGTGCCAAGTAACACATCCGTGCCCTAACTTACTAAACTGGCAACCAGAACTGAAGGGGGGTAAACTCTAGTCAATTTTATTACTGAGGTGTAACCTATGTACAAGTTGAGTATATATATAGTTACAACGAGGGCGGGTCCGCAAATGGCGGAGCCGAGCGGAGTGGAGCTAACAGGGTTAGACATTAGCCAATTGAATATTACCGACAAGTTGGGTTACAGGGTTAATGGAAAGGTAGGTGATAACCCAGAAATGGAAAGGAGGGATAGGCCCGAAGGTGGGCTTTGCAGGGCAAGCGAGTGTATTGCCCAGCGGAGGTGGGGGTGTGCTAGCAGACATTGGAGCTGTCCGGAAGCCTTCGGGGCTCTGTACTTAGGGAGGCGTAGGTAATAAATTGAAAGGAGGGGGTGGTGACCATCAAGGGGTACCGAGGGGATTGTGGAATATGGGAGCTCCGAGGTTAGTGAAGAAGGAGCAGAGGTAGACCGGAGGGATCGGAGGGATCGGAAGTCGATGGCCAGGGATGGATATGACAGTATCCCCTTCTTAGGCCTGAACCCTTGAAGGCCCAGAATTAGTAAGGTGAGGGGAGCTGTACTTACAGAAAAGAAAGAAAAATGAAAACGGAAGTGAGGAATGGAGAGAAAGGGAGAGATGGGAGAGGAGTCAGGGTTCCTAAGGAGCTTTGGGTCCAGGCTTATCTGGGTACCAAGAGTGGAACGCTTCAACAAGGTCAGAGGCATGATCGAGTTCGCCAGCAAGGAGCCATTGTGTCTCCTCGTCGGTCCCTTCATAGCCTAGCCACTTGACCAGGTAGAGCAACTTGTTGCGTCTATGTCGGTTGATCTTGGAGTCGAGTATCTCCTCGATCTCGAACTCCATTTTGCCTTCGATTTCTATGGGAGGTGGAGGTGGCTGGTGGCGGTTCGGAATGATGTTTGGGATGGAGGGTTTGATCTGCGAGACATGGAATACCAGATGAATGGCTCACATGTTTTCCGGCAGGTGGAGAGTGAGGGAGTGAGTTCCTATGTGGGCAATGATCTTGAATGGGCCGAGGTTCTTCTTGGAGAGCTTTTTGGAAGGTCAGGTGGAGTGGAAATACTTGGCCTTTACATAGACCGAGGTTCCTACTTCGAAAGCTGGGGCAGGACTCCGACGGGAGTCTGCAGGGCCCTGATAACGGATCTGAGCAAGGTGCATTTCCTCGTGAAGGAAGTGGTGAAGGGAGTCGAGATCTACAGAGTACTCCTGGGTGTGTACTGATGTTAGGTCTTGCTCCAGGTGAACGGTGATGTTCAGATGGTAGCCTTTGTTGGCGAAGAACAGAGAGACGCCTGTGGTGGCATTTGGAGCATTGTTGTATGCGAACTCCGTGAGAGGCAGGAGTTCGGACCAATTGTCCTGCTGGTAGTTACTGTAGATGCGCAGGTACTGCTCGAGCGTCTGGTTCATCCATTTGGTCTGACCGTCTCCTTCCGGATGATAACCGGAGGTGAAGTGGAGGTGGATGTCGAGGGCCTTACCAAGTGAACGGAAAAAATGAGAGACAAACTCCAGACCCCTGTTGGAGGTGACGTGGGAAGGAACTCTGTGCTTGGAGAACACGTGGAGGAGGAAGAGCTTGGCCAGTTCCGGAGAGGTGATGGTATCATGGGTAGGAATGAAAATGCACTGTTTGGACAGGCAGTCCACGATGACCAAGATGGAAGTGAATCTGGAAGAGGAGGGTAGCTGTTTGATGAAATCCATGGAGATGGAGTTCCAAGGACGTTCGGGGATGGGGAGTTGTTTGAGCAAGCCGTAAGGCTTATGACAGGGAACTTTGGCACAGGCACAGGAAGTGCAGGAGGACACGTAACTCTTGACGAAATTATGGATGCCCGGCCAGGTGTACTCACGACGTACTAGATCCAGAGTCCGGTTTTGACCGAAGTGTCCAGAAAGTTGGTGGTCGTGTTTGTCTTGCAAAATGCGAAGACGGAGATCATTGGAATCCGGAATGTAAATGCGGTTGTCCAGCCTTAACAGGCCTTTGGCATCAACAGACCAGTGGGAATTGGGGAGGTTGGGGGAAGCGAGATGAGAAGAGATTGTGGTATCAGAGGAGAGGGAGGCTAGAATGTCTTGATGGAGAGCCTCTGTGTCGACGAGTACAGCTGCTCGGATTACTGTGGCAGCTAGGAACGTGGCTCATAAGGACGCAGTGAGCTGCTCTGAAGTGAAGACTGGTCAGAAGTTCTGCGGGTTGATGCAAGCATAGTCCATATCCCCTTCTTTGGGATAGACGTCCCAGCGTCTAGTCAATGCATCTGGTTTTACTCCGAGTCTTCCGGGACGGAATCGGACAGTCATGTGGAACTGGGAGAGGAACTCTGACCAGTGGGCTTGCCGCCGGGTCAAGAGTTTGGTGGTGGAAAAATACTTGAGGTTCTTGTGGTCAGTAACGACGTCAATTGGAGTTCCTGAACCTTCAAGGTAGTGACGCCACAATCGGAATGCGTCATGGATGGCGAGCAGTTCCTTATCATGGGTGTCGTAGTTGAGCTCTGGCACCGAGAGTGTTCTAGAGCGGAAAGTGATGGGGCGAATCTCTCCGTCATCACAACGGATGGACAGGATTCCAGAGATTGCGTAATCAGAGGCGTCGGTTTCTACAATGAGGGGGGCATCAGGTAACCAATGTGTCAAGATAGGAGCAGAAGTGAAGGCTTCTTTCAAGGTGTTGAAAGCAGAGCAACAGTCATCAGAGAATAACCAGGGGGCTCCTTTATGTGTAAGGCATGTCAAGGGGACCACAATGTCGGAGTATTGGTGGATAAAATGCTGATAGAAGTTAGCGAAGCCAAGGAAGGATTGGACATCCTTGACTTTATGGGGCTCAGGCCAATCTTGGACAGCTTTGACCTTCTCGATGGACATGGTGAGTCCGGAGCGAGAAAGGCAGTATCCGAGATATTCTGTAGTGTCCGTATGAAATTCGCATTCCTTCGGATTGGCGTATAGGCCGTGTTTGTGGAGTCTCCTAAGAACTTCTCAGACATGCTCCTGATGTGAAGCCATGTCTTCCAAGTAGGTAAGGATGTCATCTAGGTAGACTACCACAGAAACATCCAAGAGGTCGGCAAAGATCATGTTGACAAATCACTGGAAGGCCGTGGGTGCATTTGTGAGACCGAATGGCATGACGAGCCACTCATAGGAACCATAGCGCGTGCGGAAGGAAGTCTTCCATTCGTCACCTGCTGCAATGCGAACCAGGTGGTAAGCATGCCAGAGGTCGAGTCTGGTGTAGACTGTGGCACGGCTAGGTGTGTCAAGGAGGTCGGAGATGCGGGGGAGTGGGTAGCGATCCTTTTTGGTGATCTTGTTCAGCCCTCGGAAGTCAACACAGAGATGGAGGGATCCGTCCTTCTTGCGGACGAAGAGGACCGGTGCCACGTGAGCAGAAGTAGCAGGACGAATGAACCCAGAGGCTAGGTGTTCATCTAAGAATGCCCGGAGGGCCTTGAGTTCCGAAGTAGAGAGAGAGTACATAGTACCCAAGGGTGGGGAGGTGCCTTCCTCAAGGTCGATCTTCAGGTCATGCTCACAGTGCAGTGCCAGCGTCGAGGCTTTGCTCTTACTGAACACATCTGCAAACTTGTGATACTCCTTCGGAACGCCTGAGAGGTCAACGGAATCGGTGTGGGATGAGGCAGCCCTCAAGCGGCTTTCCTTGGAAGGGATGGTTAGGCTGAAGGATACCGATCCTTCAAGTCGACAAGCCTTCGCAAACACGGAACGGCTGACAAACTCGATAGATGGTAACGGAGGAGTGGGAGCCTGTGACTGAGGTGCTGGCAAAACATCAGATGGTTGGATGTTGGATGATGGCAGTGGTGCTGGAGATGATGGGGGGAGAGCTCGGAGTAACTGTCTTGGTAGGTTCGGAAGTTCGGAACGTAATACTGCTTGAGACCCAGTCAATCAACGGATTGTAGTGGGTAAGCCAGTTGTGTCCTAGGACTAGGGAACATGATCCATCCAGCAATGTGACAAAGAAAGTCGTGGGGGTGATGTTTCCGGAAGCGAAGCGGAGGGGAATATCAATGGCACGGGTTATGATTGAGTTGGTGCTACCGTCGAATAGGCGTAGTTGTAGGGGTTTAATCTGATATGTCTTCAAGGCCAACTTCTTTATGAATGTGTCGTCGATGAAGCAGTCCGAAGACCCAGAGTCTATGAGTGCAGGGACATTCTCATAGGAGCGGAAAAGTCTATTGTGTGTCCTATCATTGGATGGAGGAGAAGGGACAGGAGAAGAGAAAGAAGAGAAGTGGAGAGAGGTGGATTGATCTACGGAAGTAGTCGGAGGGGGTGGAGGAGAGAGTGGTACATCAGCAACACTATCTACAATGGGTAGAACATTAACTGAAGGGTCAACATTGAGAGGAGAAAATAGACCATTTGAAAGAGAAAAATAAATGGGAATATGGAGGGAGGATAAGTCGGAGATGGAAGACACGTTTAAACGCACTTCTTTGAGCGCACAGAAGGAAGGATCGCAACCCCCGGTCCATGTGGAGTCCATGGGGGTGCGGACTAATTTTTTGCTTCTGCGGAAGCGGATCCTTGCTCCTCGGTCTGGGCCAAACGGGCCTTAGATGCATGAGAAGAAGACTTGGGACAGTCCTTGACCATGTGGCCAGACTGACTGCAGAACATACAAAGTTTCTTGTCGAGACGACACTTACGCTCTTGTGGCATGAGCTTGCTGTTGTCTCTGAGTTTAGATGAAAGGTCTGGTTCAGCGGAGCTGGCCTTGGACTTCTTATTGTCCTTTGGAGGCTTGCTACCGGAAGCGGAGTTGAAAGAGGAGGAGGAAGGGACAGGGTTGGAACGAGAAGTGGCGGTGGACTTGTCGAAAACGTTAGAGGAGGAAGGTTTCACATGACATGTAACTTCAGATTTACGCTCCCAATAGCACGCATCGAGAGTTTGCAACAAGGTGCGAAGTTCCAAAAGAGTAGAAGGTTTACCTACTCTGGCAATATCGTCCTTGATACGTTCCAGCAATCCATTATAGAAAAAACAACGAAGCGCGGCTTCTCCGTAACTGTCATATCCATCCCCGGCCATCGACTTCCGGTTCCTCCGATCCCTCCGGTCTAACTCCGCTCCTCCCTCACTAACCTCGGAGCCCCCATATTCCGCAATCCTCTCGGTACCCCTTGATGGTCACCACCCCCTCATTTCAATTTATTACCTATGCCTCCCTAAGTACGGTGCCCTGAAGACTTCCGGACAGCTCCGACGTCCACTAGCGCACCCCCGCCTCCGCTGGGCAATACACTTGCCTGCCCTGCAGAGCCCACCTTCGGGCCTATCCCTCCTTTCCATTTCTGGGTTATCGCCTGCCTTTCCGCTAACCCTGCGAACCGACTCGTCAGTAATATTCAGTCAGCTAATGTTTAAACCCTGTTAGCTCCGCTCCGTTCGGCTCCGCCAATTGCGGACCCGTCTTTGCTGTAACCATATATATATCCCATTTGTACATAGGTTACACCCCAGTAATAAAATCAACTAGAGTTACCCCCCCTTAGGTTCTGATTGCCAGTCAGTAAGTTAGGGCACGGACGTGTCACTAGGCACAGCACTCTTGGCAGAAGTCGCTGAGGCCGAAGCCCTCCGCCACGGAGACACTCCCTCGTCTCGAATCTGGTCTCTGACAGTAACCATGAAGTTGAGAGGCATGTCGGTTGAACTCGACAACGTATTTATTGATGTGGTGCCCGTCCTTCATGTCCAGGGTCATTAGTTGAACTTTGGCGTCGCCCACAGGATCGTGAGGACCGAAGTTGGTTTGGAGTTCGTTGACAAACTCTTGATAGTTATTCATCCATTGCGGATGAAGCATAGAATTTTGATCGAATAATAGATCCGGCTCAAACCAATTGAGGCCCATTCCCTTGAGGTAGGACTGCACGAAGATGACCTTAGCGCAGTCGCTAGCAAAGCAAGGGGATGGTCCTGGAAATTGAGTTCGCATTGGACCAGAAATACTCGGAGTTCTCGGGGATCTTTCCTGTCAAACTGTTTGGGCTCACGGACCTTGGTCCAGAGAGTGGAGGATGGTGGTGGTGGTGGACATCCAGTGTGACGAGCCAAGCTGGCAATGGCTTGGGCTAATTGTGCAATAGCCATGTTGGGGATGGGTTTGGCATCATCAGTGGTTGGGACAGTGGGGATGGGAGGATCAGCAGGAGGAGGGTTGATGAAGTCAGGGACCTCAGAACCGAGTCCAAAGAAGTGAATGGGGTCTACTGGTTGTTCCGTGGTGTCTCCGAAATCGGAATCTGCAACTGGTAATCAATTCATTCGTCGATTCGAGGTTTGCGTGCTCGAGATTTTTTGAATGGCTGGATCCTGACTTACCATGTCCGCGATAGCTAAGATCATCGACTTTAATCCTGCTTCGTACCAAGCACTCATCAGTTCAATGTAGGTGTCTGCGTACATACTTATGGATTGCCTAATCATTAATGCTCCTAGCCGAGATATCGAAACTCAAGCGAGCCTCGGCCGAGCACATTTATGTGAAAGGCAAATCAGAGTGCCTGCCAGGCACACGGGTCAAGATTCAAGAATCCCTACTCAATCACCTGAAGGGAGCTGGGAACCGATTCGTTTGGCTACGGGGATCTTCTGGGACGGGGAAGATTGCGATATCTATGAGTGTTGCATCCACTCTTCAGGAGCAGGGTATGCTGGCCGCGTCATTCTTTTGGGATAAGAACCAGGCAGGAACAAGCTTGGATTCTATCGAACTGTTCCCCTCTACCCTTGCTTGCCAACTCGCATCCTTCAATGAGGACTTCAAATTGTCGCTTGTCGGGCGCCTTCGGCAACTTTCCTTTGTTCACGATTTGTCTCTGAAAGAACAAATCGATACTCTGATGATTGGGCCGATGCGTGACTTGAAGGACATATGGTCGAGAAAGGATCGCCCCGTTATCGTCCTGGATGGCCTTGATGAGTGCGGGGATCAGGAGAGACTCAGGTCGCTGATGGAACTAGTACTTACCTTTCTGAAGCTGCCGCCGATAATTTCTGTGCTAGTTAGTTGTCGTCCTGAGCCAGAAGTTATTTCAGCTTGGAATAAAGCTCGGGCCAAGGGTCATGTCGTACCATGTGAAGATTTGGACCAGGTTGTAGCGGGAGAAGCTTTCCAAACGGTTCGCCGTATGGTGGAAGAATGCCTTCAGCACCTCTTTGACAAATATTTGTGGAAACCAGACAAGAAGGAACTTGACGCTTTCGCTTGGGCTTGTCGGGGGTTGCCTGTGATGGCGTCTATCCGGGTTCGCGATGTTGACCTGCAGACACGGTGTGGCCGCACCTTACAGTCGGTGTTCCGGGAGTTGCTAAACCTTACCAATGCACCTCCCAACCTTAACTGGGAGTACTTGCGAATTCTTCGACAAGCCTACATGCTGGATTCATCTGGTATTCACCCAGATGTAGCCAAGAAGTATCGCTCAGTGATTGGCGCGATTGTTGCGATGCATGAACCGATGACCATCTCTTTTATGTCACAGCTTTTCAAGATCGGCGAAGACGAGATCCGTGCGACATTAGAACCAATCAGCTCCATCGTCAATCTACCCTCAGAGAACACAGAGGAAGTCATCTTATATCACGCAACGGCAAAAGAATTCATCATGGGGGAACCAATTGGTAATGAAAAGGACAGAGTATTCTTCATCGATGACGTGAAAGGGTATTTCCTTGGATTGCCACTCCTTCGACTCTTCAACAATTATTGTGAGCAGGATGCATTTGGAATGCCTACGAATCCCCCTTTAGGAGATAAAAGAATATGGAAGGAGTTTAGGGCGAAAAAAGCGGATTATCGCAGGCGCTTCTCCTATGTTATCGGATACTTGCTTGAGCACTTGGACCCTTCGCAACTTTTTTCACAGGAGTCCAATGAATTGCAAACCGAATTTAATTCCTTCATCACGCAGAAACGCGTCTTGACTTTGATGCACTTGCAAAACCGTTTTCGCGGACGATTTACCAAACGTTTATTTCCTAAAGAATTACTTCAATTCAATGTAAGTATAAACTATTCGTCCAGGTTTAGATGAGCTAGATTCCGCTGCTGCGCATATGCCATGGGAATTCTATCGATCGAAGCTTCTTTTCACCCCACCCTCATCACCCCTTTACAAACAATATGGCCATCTCTCTGATCCTGTCCGGATCTTCTCCGCTTTTGGCGAGTTCTCTGGTGGCACCATTCCATTAAGCAAGGATTTGCTCAGTGCCCAAGCGATCATGCAGGAAAAGTTACCAGAGGATAAATGGGGACGCAATTACGAAGCTGAATTTTATGACCCTGATGTTCGCAATGGCATTGTGACATGTGCTGCACTCTCCCCTGATGGTCGCTATATTGCACTCGGATTTGGCAGCGGAATTATCGAGGTGGCTGACATTGACCACCAGCGCATGATCTGCCGATTGCAGCACTATCCAGCCTATTTCCCGGCCTGGATCGAATTCGTCCACGGCAGCCATCGAGTTGCCACTGAGGATAACAATGGGAATGTAACGATCCTCGGTGACGGCCTAACCCCTGTAAATCTTGGCACTCTTCCCACCGGTCCCTATCCAGCTGGAACCGCAGCCTCAGACAACGGATTATTTGTCGTGCGAGTCCCACGAAATCTCGACAACCCTTGGTACGACAACATGATGCTCATATCTGTTTCGGGGCATCCATCCATTCAGCGTCTCGCCTCCCCTCCTTTCTCCCTATCATCTGGATTTGATCATAATAAGTCAGGCATTCCGCACCGTCGGACCCTTGGTTTCTCTCCAGGAGCACGCTATGTTGGTGCTTTTGATGGGACCCAGGCTGTTACCTGGTCAACCGAATCATGCCAGTGCATTGTGGGTTATCGGGTGACGAACTACGATTTCTGGATTATTAATCCTAATGTCCCTCCGACATGCTCATATCTCATCCCTGATCCTATGTTCACTCGAGCCACTATTCCCTTGGCAGAAGGCGACATGGCTGATGAAGGACTTGATTCAGTAGATGAATTCTGGATCAAGTGCCCATTTTACGATGTCTCGCCATCCACAGGGTCTTGGGACCCTAGCATCTATTCGTCTGCGGTAGGAAGGACCCCACTGATCGAGTCCTTATTAGTCTGGTTCGATGGCAGAGAAGAGCTTATGCTCCCATTGGGTTTTGGATCTCGCCTAGTTAGGGGAGCCTGGTATGGTGATCGGATGCCAGATAATGATACGGGGTTCTACCGCCCTCAGTCCAGCAGAGATGGAACCCGATTTCTACTCCAGGGCGGGCGAAGAGCCCCAATTGTTGTCGACATCAGCCAAATCGTTTAGTATTTACTAGTATGTGCTTCATCTCTTCTCATCGCTAGCCGTACAAGCCTAAAAGCGATCTTTGATGTATTGATCTTATAGTTGGGGAAGCGCCAGAACCACGGGTGTGGTGTGCATAGAGCAGTGAGGCAAAAACCAATAATATAATATTCACCTGAATCTATATCCGGAATAAAATAGCCCAAGAAGTAACCATCGCGGTAATTTCGACAGCTTGTACATGAACGATGTTTTTACTCTCTTGCAATGACGCCTCATCGTCGGCACGTGTGAGTCCCCAACACACAGACAATGGCAAACGAAAATAGCATCGGACAGACAACTAAGTTTTTGGTGCATACAAACATAGAAACGCGGAAATGGCATCTAAATAAGCGCTAGATATTTACAAGGTTATGAGCAAGCGATCCAAGGGAATCGAGAGTAAATATCTCACCTCAGTTCACGACATTAGAAGTTAGAGTTTCACCTTGCTTTTAAGCGTGGAATGACTTGGAAAACAGAAAAGGAGGGCGAAAGAAGAGCAGAATGACCCTACGGTTGGGAAGAGCGGTGCAACCCCAACACAGGGAACGGTGCCGAACGTCCCGACATGACTCGAAAAGCTCCGGGGACAAATGCTCAGCATTGCAGGAGTCAAGTAGCACCGGTTCTTGAGCTGGGAACCACTTGTGCGAGGTTGAGCTGTTTTTGTTGAACACTAGCTTGGGAAGGAGCACTCATTCACAGCACGAGGCAAAGAATCGAGATATCGGAGGGTAGACAGGTATACCACCAGGAGGCACGATGCATGTGGGTGTCGCAGAGGCAGCTCGCATCGATGTTTTCGTGCCGCCAATCCCATCGCTTCGAATTCTGGTCGCTTCAGAGCTGTTTGTTGCTTCCTGGAATAGGAAGTCAACAAAGTGGATAATAGGCGTACTTTCCGGTTGGATAATACCCCGTAGAGGCTTTCTTCCTGGGGACAGGGCGCTGAGGTAGTAGTTTCCATGTCCATGGGTCTAGATACTTAGTGTTTAGCTAGAAGGAGACATGTTATATTATCTTACCTTGCTTGACGTTAGAGATATTATAGTTTCCTAAAAAAAAGTAGGCTGTTCTTCGCACATGATGGGCGGGGACGCGTTAAAACACCAAACAGTATTAAAAAATAAGTTTATGTGTGGGGGATACACAAGGACTGCCAATAGTGTGACAGCGTGTGTGCATCATAGCACGCATCCAACGAGAATGGGATCAAGTAGATATCGCTCTAACCAAAGAGCACAATGTATGTTGGATCGCTAAGATCGGAGGCGCCGATCTCACAAGATCGGGTTTTCGTGACACCGGATTGGCAATAGTCAGTAGCGAAGTGTGGACCAAGGCCAAGAAAACGGAGCACCAAGGAAGCAAGAATGCGTTATGTGGATCCGGTGTCAGTTGGATAGGGACGCAGCAAAGTAAGGGAGATATTGCAGTTAAGAGGAAGTCTCGACAAGGGCGAAGACTGCACACGACAGGCAGATTATATGCAATTATGGCCTCCTTCCTTGTATACCTGACTCCATGCCAACGGAATACATATTGGGACTCGGTTCACGATGGAAAAAGAAGTGGAAATATGATGGTCTCATGCACCCACACGAGCTGCTTTGGTGGAGACCCGCGAGAAAATTTTCGAATTTCGATTTGGTAAAACACTATACCATTGAAATCGATGGAAATGGTCGACTCACTAATCCTGGTTATTTACCAAAGTTTGCTTCCACAGTGAGGGGCTAGGTGCTCAACTAGAATAGCGGGCGCGCCCGCAAGTAGCAATGCAGCGACCAGGCAAGGAAACAGATCTTGAGTGCCATTAACGTTACCAATAAGCGCGACGTGGCTTCCTCTTTTGGATGTAAATGTGCTTCAACGGGGTATGCCGGGCTCAACAATCTAAATGCCATGGAGCCAGAAGCGACGAGTGTCTCATGGCCTGCTAAGAAGCGACCAAGTTGAGGAGGCCCTCAATGTCGCCATCACAACCTATGAGTCTGCTGAGCTTGCCATCTTTCATCTTATGGAAAAATATGAGATTGATTGGCAGACGTTGAAGAAGCTTGCAAACGGTGAGTCCCGCTTTCGTTCTACTGAGGCATCTTAAAGATCGCCCTTAGCCAAAGGTCTTGATACCAGCTTCTCTCACGTAACCTGGGAACAAATTTCCCCCTTTGTCGGGATTGATCCCTTCTTCGGGCTTGCAAGGCTCCCCAAGTTTGAACTCAAGCGAGCTCGAATCCCCACGGTATTTTTCAAGTCGATAGTCCAAGAGGTCGATCGTAACAATTCCGTATATGGGCCTCTACGGACTCATTTAAACGAAGAGGCTCGTTCCCGCTTCATAGCCCCGGTGAGACTAGGTCATCACGGATGGCAGTCTTAGCTAATCGTTGCTTCAGGTTTTTATCGGAGTGGCGGATCTATTCTGCTCTTCGATCACTGGTGTTCCCGAAACAGCCCTTGGGGGCCGTGTTGCAACCAAGGGCAGGGTTGAACATCACTTTGTCGCTGTCGGCGGGCTAACGCTGCTGGTTGTCGTGACTATGTATAAGCTGGGTACTCCAATGGGACGACGGAATGCCATCGCGCAAATGGTTGCAGAGGCCGATGGTAAGTTGTCGACTCATTCGTTTGAGAATGTCAATGGCGTGCTTATTTCATGCCAGCTCGTGATTATCGAAACCTCACTCTATCATATAATGGCCCCGTATACTACGTTCTATTTGACGGGGAGTCTTTTACATATTTCAAGTACGATCACAGCGAGAAACGCAAATTCTTCCGAGGCAAACTAGGCGAGGTGGAGGTGTTCAGGTTAGCAGACTCAGAAACGGACCCAAGACAGTTCATCCAAGACCTGCGTTCCGTGTGTGAAATCACCTTTTCTCTACTGCTGCAGGCGCACGGCCAGGCTCTCCAATCTCTAGCCGAAAGAGACCCCGACGAGGAAGAAGGGTGGAAAAGTGGAGCTAAAGCCGTTGAAGAGGTTCTCCAGGAATGTCTCAATGCAGCTTTCTTCGATAAAGTTGTAGCTGATCAGCTGGCGGGGACGGCACTCACAACGCTCTCCGATACGTAGGGATGCCTTCTCAAAATAGACAGTTCACGGCTGACCTCAATCTTCCCGTGTTCTAGCATTAAGGCCCTACCTCCAGGTGCGATACAAACCAGCCATCATCGCCTCATGGAATTCTTCGATGATATCTAGTTACCTATCCGCTGTTGAGCGGGCAGTATTTGCTGCTATCGATGAAGTTGCTCCATGCACACGACAATCGAGTTCGGACAGTGTTACGGCCCCTGGACACACTGAAACCTTTTGTTTGGAGGAACGAATGGGTCTTCCGCAAGTGGCTGACGACGCAGACCATAGTGGCTGTCCCAGAGCTTTGGCGTTCCCTCTGGAGATGCGAGGAAGAGTTAATGGTATCTGTGGAGAACGAGCCATAAAATGCAATGGGCATTGTATTGAGATGCCGCGGGCGTGAGGCCTATGCATGGATCACACAGTCGTGCAAGACACGGAGGATTCGAACGGCCGGTCACCGGGGCAGGATTCAATGCTGCAGCATCCAGAGGTTGAGTTTGACAAGGAGAGCGTAGAGGAAATGAAGAGCAGTAAGACCCATGACCGATGTGCCCAGCACATTAACAATCTCGATTTAACATACATTCTCTAGCTCTGTAGATGTCGTGAATGGAAACTTGTTGACCGACTCACAGGTTCAAACTAAACATCAAAATCCCAAGCGAGTGCAAAGATACTAAACAATCCCGATGACAAGTGGTGCTTTCATGTGGCCTTGGAGCAGGAATCGAGTTCCATCCCTGCTGGAGCGGGGATGGTAAAAGTCCGTCAGGGGCATCCGATCCCCATACCAAGCATAATGATTGCGGCTATCGAGTCTGATCGGGTGATATCCATTTGGGACAAAGAGAAGTTCTCTGCCATCGAATGAGATTACATATTGATCCAGTGAGGCCGTAGTAGTGACCCGATGAAGCAGTGGAGTCCTTCCGACCATGGAAGAATGGACCTCCCCATCTTCGTTTTTTGAAATGTCATAAAACGGGCAGTTGAGCCAGGTTTCATCCAAGTCGCGATGGATGGCCTCAGGATGAGTACGTCGAAGGAATGTAGGCTTATGTCTGGCATATAATGAAGGGGGGGATCCGACTCCTGGATTCAATATCCAAGTGGGGCAGCTTGGTACCTGATAGTAAGCAATGAGCTCATGCGACTCCATTGACCAAACAAAAGCTTTGTCCCTGTCATAAGCGCCAACGTAACGAGCTCCGGGGGAAAATCCAAGTGAGCCATGAAAAGGAATAGGTGGAGACTCGGGGGGTGACTGGGCTGTATGTTTCAATCCAGAGTAGGAAGAGTTAAAATGAGGGAAAGGCAAGCGCTGGATAGATGGGTTAACTGAAACAGATAGCACGACCACACTTTTGTACCACATTTCGTCCCCTGGTGCCCGAACTATTAATGACCTATCCTGTGGCACTGCCGTCACAACAGAATAGCGGCTCACAGGAAATGGGTCTTTTAATCTCACGGGCTGTGCACCGTGAGCAAAGATGATAACCCTTCCCTTGTTGTCTTCCACGGCGATACGACAATCGCCAGAGACGAACTCGATCCAAATGGGATGATTGGAAGCGTCACACTGGAATTGGGAGACGGCGCATCGATCATCAATATCAGCAACCTCGATCATGCCATTTCCGAAACCAAGGGCAACATAACGGCCATCTGGAGATATTGCCGCACTGGTAACAGTGCCATTGCGAGTACCGGTATGATCAAATTCAGCCTTATAATCAACTGCACCAAATTTGTGAGCAAGCCACCGCGATTCAACCGGAATTGTTCTTGTTTCCAGTGCATCGGAAGAGACGACACTTTGCAGCATGAGTGTGGCCTTGCTTAGTGGAATGGCATTGCCATGAGAAAGCTGATCACCAAAACAGAAGATGTGGATGCGAGAATCAGAGAGATGGCCGTATTGCTTGAACAGTTCAGATGATGGTGGGATGAAACGAAGAGAGGATGGATGATACCGCCAAGGATGACGAGAAATTGAAAGCAAGTGCTCGTTGTAATATGCAGTCTCATTTAGAAGCCTAATTGGATGGTGCTGGATGCAACGAAAGTGGAGCTTTAATTATTCGAACAGGGAAAGTAGACATGGACACTCACCTGGACTTGGTGACGCAATCGATCAGGCACGTGAGAAGATGAGAATCGAGGATTCAGCGCAAGATATGACAATAGGTTGCGCGTAATAAAGCGCTCAAACTTGTGCTGCAATTCATTTTCGTTGCGGGAGAAGAGTTGAGATGGATCCAAATGGTCAAACAAGTGCCTTAGGGCATATTTGACATGTCCAGGAAGATTCCTGAGCTGTTCCTGAAAATTCTTCCATTTGTTCACACCTCCAGATGACGTCTCTGTGGGGATGCCATACAGGTTCCAATCAATGATGTCATTCACAAGGGCAAGGAGTCGAAAGCCAATGAAGTATCCCTCCGCGTCATCAATGAAGAAGGCCTTGTCAGTGACAACGGGGTTACCGGTGATAAATTCCCTTGCCGTCGCATGGTAGAAATCGATGGTTTCAGTGTTGTCCAAGGGAAGATTGAGTAAGGAGCTGATCGGCTCCAAAGACTTCCACACTTTATCCTCTGTCATCTCCAGGAGCCGTGACAGGGAATGTACGCTGTTCACCTGGGGATCATGTGCAGCGATGATCATCCCCATGACTTTGCGGTAAGTCTCGGCGACGTGGGGACGAATTTCGGAATTGAACATGTACGCTCGTCGAAAGACGCGCAGGTACTCGGAATGAACATCAGTAGGTGCATCTTTGAGATTGCAAAAGTATTCAAACTCGGATTGAAGGTCAGCACCACGTTGAGTCAGACGGCGAACATCACGAATTCGCATTTCAGCGATAATGGGCAATCCACGACAAGCTGAGGCAAAAGAATGAAGGTGCCATTCTGACGGTTTCCACTCTGATTTTTGGATGCAGTCTGCGAGCTTCTCCTGGACCATCCTCAGGACAGTGAGGTCGTGTTGGTAATTATCCAGATCTTGGCAAGGAAGGTTTCTGTGTCCAGGACCGAATTTCGCAGTCCAAGCCGAAATTATTTGTGTTTCTGGACGAGAACTAACAAGCACTGCAAAGTTGATCGGCAGACCATCCAGCAGTAGCACAGCCTTCATCAGGTCCTCAAGTGTTTCCTGATCCCCACATTCATCTAAACCGTCAAGAATGATGATGAAGCGTTTCCCACTCGACAGCCACAACTCCTTCAGATCACACATTGGGCCGATGATGAGAGCCTTCACTTGCTCCTCCAAGCCAAGACTCGAAGCTAATTCTAGGTCCTCCCGCTGAAGATGTTTTACAAGCGACAATTTGAAGTCCTCACTGAAGACTGCAAGTTGTCGCGCAAGTGTGGACGGAAACATTTCAGTAGAGTCGAGCCCACTGTCTTTTTGATTCTTATCCCAGAAGAATGACGCTGCCAGTCTGCCTTGATGAGCAAGAGTCGAAGCGATGCTTAGAGAAATTGCGGTCTTGCCAGTTCCGGGGGAACCGCGTAGCCAGAAGAATCGGTTTTGGACTTCTCCCAGATGTTCGAGTACAGATTGCCGCATCGCAACCCGTGTGGTTTGAAGGCACTCTGATTTACTCTGGACACGCTTGTAATCAGCAGGGAGTCGTGTGAGTTTCCGAAGTTCCGCTGAGGACAGTATTGATTAGAAAGCCTGGCGCGTGAACATGGAGACGCACATTGTACAAATAAATGATGGGTGTGGAGAAAATCCAAGGTGGAAATCCTCAACTTCACGGAAAAGACTGGGTTGGGTTACCATTGTAACAGCATTAGTTGATTGCACATGCCTGGAAGCGGGATATGGCATCGTTTAGGCAGGTCTTCATGGCAGTGATTTGCTGAGCTATATCGGTCGCTTGAACTGTCTTCTTGACGACATTTTGGCCCAGCAGCAAAATGACATTCCCAAATTGTTTTTCCAAGGCCCTAGGGATGAATTTAATTTAAAAAAATGAGGAGAGCGACAGGGACTAGACATGTACCTGCGAAAATCGGACGCTAACGTCTCCAGTTCTGGTGGCCTGTCGCCGCGCCAATTCTGGATGGGTTCCACCACCGAGCGCCATGCTTCCTGAATCCCTTTGCACAACCCATCTAGGCCATCAGCATTCCCTCGAACGGTCTGACAGAAGATAAGTATCGGTGGCCAACCCTAGATAATTCACCAACCTCGTAGATTTGAATCCAGCTCAAGAGCAATATTGGGATCTCGTCGAGATGTGTGACGGGAACCAATTTGAGAGCGGAGGTTGCAAATTGGAGGGAAAGTTTTGTCGCACCGAGGACCGTTTTCGTCCCATCACCAGCCAAGGCAGCGGACGATGAGTCTGACGTGGGCACCGCTAAGGGAGCCAAGTAATCCTTTTTTGCAACTGGCTGTGGATGGTGAACCGCGCCGATGGTTGATGTGTTGGACGTTGAAGGGACTTTGCGGATATTCTGATTGGATGGAGTGAATTTTGACTCATCAGGAGAAAGCTGAGGAGGGACACTCGGTGTATACGGTCCCATGCCGGATCCTTGAACTGAACTGGCATTGCGTCCCAGGAATCTCTGCATCACGCGACGCATCCCAGAGAGCAAATGATTCGATCGCTGAGTGGCGACATTTGACATGTGGTGAGTGTGGGTCCGGGAATCGGCACGAAGGCCTGAGGAGTTCGAGTTCCCCGCCGTCGGTGTGTCATTGGATGGTAACTTTGGGGTACTTTGCTTGGGGTGGCGCTTGAAGGGCATTCTAGGAGGAGAGGTTGACAACGAACAACAACGTTGCAGAGCCCACTCAGAACGATGACAAATGCAATAACGGCATTCCCCAGATATCACACCTAAGTTGGGCCAAAGTGGGCTCGGCTTCTCGCCACATTCATGAGAAGCTATTCATCATTGCCTCAGCATCTTCTTACTCGTTACGTTCAAGCTGCCTTGAGGCACACACATATTGTGACAGTAGTTGAGCCGCCTGCCTCCCTTCAACACGGGCCTTTGTGATCGCTAAGTTAGCTACATTTGACCATGCGCAGACACTGGTCCAATAGGCCTTAGCGTCCTGACCGTCCGTTGCAGCCCTCAACCCCTGTACCCAAAATCCAGATCACCAGCACTGCGACCGAAAATGACGGAAGATATGAAGGCGGCCTCGCAAGGAGACATTTTGATCCGTGGTTTGTTGCCACTGGAAGTGGCGCAACAGTTTGCTATTCTATCGAGGGGAAGTGCGTTCCATCCCAAACATTTGCATCTAGACTGCTGAATCCCCTTTTGTGCCGGCCCCAGGCGAGCTTTCGAGACTCGCGCGAGCCCCGGCCAAGTACACTTCTGTGAGGAGCAAATCAGAGTGCCATTCAAGCACCCGGATCGAGACACAAGAATCCTTACACAAGCACCTGAAGGAGGCCGGGAACCGATTTGTTTGGCTAAGGGGCTCCCCTGGGACGGGGAAAACTGCGGTCTCTATGAGTGTCGCATCCGCCCTTGAGGGTATTCTGGCGGCGTCATTCTTTTGGGACAAGAACCAGACAGGAACGGGCTTGGATTCTATCGAGCAGTTCCCCTCTACCCTTGCCCACCAACTTGCATCCTTCAATAAGGACTTCAAAGCGGACACCTTCGACACTCGGCTTTGGCCTTAGTTCAGGATTTTCCCCTAGAAAAACAAATGAAGGCTCTGATTATTGAGCCGATGCGCGACCTGCAGGATACGCTGTCTTCAGGCAAGGATCGCTTCATCATCGTCTTGGATGGTCTTGACGAGTGCGGGAGTCATGAGGCGCTCGAGCATCTGATGAAGCTGGTACTTGCCCTTCAGGAACTGCCACCGTCGTTTTCTGTGCTAGTTAGCTGTCGTCCTGAGCCAGGAGTCATTTCAGCTTGGTCGGAAGCTCGAACTAAGGGTCTTGTTGTACCATGTGAAGATGTGGATGAGATAGCGTATGATGAAAATTTCCGTATAATCTACGTTATGGTCGAGGAAGGTCTTCGGGATCTCATTGATGAATCTCCATGGAAACCAATAGAGGGAGAACTTGGCGCCCTTGCGCGGGCTTGTCGCCAGTCGCCTGTTATGGCATCTATCCGGGTTCGCGACGTTCGCCTGCAGACACGGCGTGGCCGCACCCTGCAGTTAGCATTTCAGAACTTGGTCACTCTTGCTGATGCGCCTGCCGACTTCAACTGGGAGTACTTGCGAATACTTCGACAAGCCTATATGCTGGATTCACTTGATCCCGTGGATGTAGCCAAGTATCGCTCAGTGGTGGGCGCGATTATGTGGCGCGCAAGTCGATGAATCTGTTCCTTATGTCGCAGCTTTTTGGGATTGCCGAGCCTGAAATCCGTGCAATGTTGGAACCGATCAGCTCAATAATACATCTTCCCTCACAAAACACGGAGCGTGTCAACTTCTATCATGCAACGGCAAAAGAGTTCATAACGGGGGACCCAATTGGCGAGGAGAGGGACGAAGTATTCTTCATCAATGATGTGGAAGGATACTCCCTTGGATTGCCGCTCCTTCGACTTTTCAACAGCCATTGTGAGAGGAACGCGTTTGGGGTACCCACCGAACTTCCTTTAGGAGATAGACGAAAATGGGAAGGATTTATGGTGAAAGGCAATGACAATTGTGTCCGTTCCTACAATTTTTTAGACCACTTTGGAACTTTTTTCTGAAGAGTCCAATGAATTACGGAGCGAGTTTGATTCCTTCATTACGCAAAACTTGTTGACATTAGCGCAGTTGCAAACGCGTTTTATCTTCCAAATTCTTGAAGAACTTCGTGAATTCGATGTAAGCCTTGAAACTGTTCGTCTCATGTTTGAAGGAAGTGATGTCATTTTTGACAGCATCACAATTCAATCCAAGCTTTGAGAGATTTGGAACCGGCGGCAAACTATATTGCCAAGCATGGGCCATCGTATCTCTATCGATCGTTCCTCCCTTTTGCCCCACTTTCATCATCCATTTACAAATTATACGGTTCTCTCTCAGACCCTATCCGGATCTTCTCCATTTTTGGCGAGTTCTCCGGCGACACCATCCCGTTAAGCAAGGATTTGCTCAGCGCCCAAGAGGTTATGCAAGCAAAGCTGAGCGAACTACGTTTGCTTGAAGAGATCAACGAACCGGGAATTGAGGTGGTCAATTACGAAGCTGAATTCCGCGAACCTGATATTCGTAATGCCATTGTGACGTGCGCCGCACTCTCCCCCAATGGTCACTATGTTGCGCTTGGGTTTGGCAATGGTATTATCGAAGTTGCCGATATTGACCATCAATGCACGGTCTGCCGATTGCAGCACGATCCAGCCAATCCCCCGATCTGGATTGAGTTTGTCCATGGCAACCACCGAGTTGCTACTGAGGACATGGATGGGAATGTCACAGTCCTCGGCTATGGCATGGCCCCCGTGAAACTCTCCCCACTGGTCCCTGTTCTGCTGGAACTGCAGTATCCGATAATGGATTCGTTGTCGTACGAATCCCACAAAATTTCGACAACCCGTGGTACGACAATATGATGCTCATATCTGTCTTTGAGGATCCATCCATTCAGCTCCTCGCCTCGCCTCCCTCCCCCTCCTCCCTGTCTTTTCCATTGATTCATGTCGGGTTGCACACTCCTCACCGTCGAACACTTGGGTTCTCACCAGGAGCACGATATATTGGTGCTTTTGATGGGATCCGAGCTTTCACCTGGTCAACGAAGTGGCGTGAATTCATTGCATCTTATTGCGTGACGCAGTTCGATTCTTGGATTATTAGGCCCAGTATCATCCCTCCGAGTGGCTCATATCTCGTGCCTCCAGTAGAAAGCAAGACAGCTTATACACTTCATTCCAAGGCAAATCTAGGGCCTGATTCAGAAGATGAGTCCTGGATCAAGTGTCCATTTTACGGCCTCTCGCCAAGCATCTCAAGAAGAGGAACCCTGCCCTCCAGTGTCCATTCATTCGTCACAGGAAGAACCCCATTAATCGAGTCCTCATCAATGTGGATTAACGGCAGTGTAGAACTCGTGGTTCCAGTGGACTTTGAACCCCATGAAACCTGTGCCTGGTATGGTGATCGAATACCACCTGATGTTATGGGGCTCTACCGCCCTCAGTCCAGCAGAGATGGAACTCGATTTCTACTCCAGGGTCAGCGAAGAGCCCCAATTGTTGTTGATATCAGCCAAATTCGTTTGCCTTCGCCAGTGGATTCGAGTGGGATGCGAGATTCTAACGTACTTCACTCATGGAGTTCCGGAAGGTAGGAAGGATCCACACATACATGACATATCTTTCCATTCAACTTTCTTTATTCCACTATGTTACTGCAATTCCATTCTGCATGCTCAACTTACAGCCACTCATTACTTATGCGTCCAAACCTTGGGAATAGTCGTAAATCAAACAGGTTTTCACCTTCGCCGAGGGAATGGGAAATGTGGTAGGATAGTTCTATAATTGAAGTATTCGCTCTTTCCTGAATTTTCCATTTGATATCTGTAAAACGTCAACTCGGTAGAATTGCGCGCTTACTGGCAACAACTATAACCTTGTAATTGACGAGCCGGACGTTTCCCTGCGCCGTGGCAACTGCCATCATACCGAACACATCACCAAGCGATAGGTACGGGCCAGAGTCCTAGCAATCAGGTCCAATGGGCTCCCACAACACCCGAAGGTTGACCGAACCGAACCTCTTCTTCCATGGAAGCGACACTTCTCTTGGATCATGGGGTATTCGGAACCACAGAAGGCACAGCCTCTGTTGCTGGAGTCACTGCGGGATCACGAACCATCGGTGCTGCGTCAGACTGGGTGAGCAGTCCCACAGCTGGGAAAGTCGAGTGCCGTCCAGAAAGTGTACATGAAATAATATCTCAGCGTTCACGCTACGCGAGGAACTCGACGACGCTACCGACCTTCGAATCGAGAAGGAAAATTGTGCTCTCTATTGCCCCAAGGAATCCTGGTGTCCGAGGCAGTAAATAAAGCAAGGCTATGCGCGCAGCAAGCTGCTCAGAGATGCCTTCGTACGAGTGGGTGTAAATTGATCGCCGAGTACATATCCTAGTGGTCGAGACTTGCAATTACTGGTATCAAATGTGAAAATAATATACGATCAGATCAAACGTGAGCCACCTGCACGAAACAAGAGGGGCAGCTTGCTTAGGAACAAATGAACGAGCCCCAAACATACCCCTTCGCTGGAAAGAACAAGTTCAACCGGCTGACGACGCATACGGCGACATCCCAGGGTTCTATCGTTCGTTCCGTAGATGTGAGGAAGAACTAACGACCTTCGTGGAGAGTAGTCCATTATATGGAATTAGCTTAAACAACTGGGACGTAGGGTTAGTAAGTTAAGATTGCACGAGATATGGAGACGGAATTCGCCAAAATGCTGTGCCAACTTCAACCGTGTTCTCGTAAGGCCATGCCCTTCGAAGACGAGATTCAATAGAATATATCTTGAACTAGGCTGAAGAATATATGTGCTGTCGAGTTTCCAAACACAAAGTTAACCCCGTAAATTCACGGGAGTGCGCACATCGTCAATGGCCAATGATCCCAGACGCTACGAGAATGTTTATGAAATCGACGCCGGTCGCGAAAATTCGTGAGGTAATGTGCCTAAGTAGGGAACGATCGTGGATGAATACAGCAGTCATAGTTGTTTCTGCATTCGTATCTGTATGGAAGCAACGCCACCAGATTAGGTGACCGTGCCGCAGACGCCTCCAGCGCGTATGCATTCCCATGTCCAACAAAGGGCTGGCATGGAATACTCTTGGGTTCGGCTTTCGAACAACTGCCGACTTCGAATGTAAAGTCCACTCAAAACAGTAGATTAACTTGCCTCAGATTATAGCTCACCTTTGGCGAGCACATGAAATCCGGGGCTACATTATTTGAGGCGCGGTTGGATGGCCTGACCTTGACCATAAGGAGTGATCGAAGATGGGAGGGAAATCAGGCATGAAAAAATCTAGCAGTTTACGTGACTCGCAACACTGCTGAGGTGCCCGGCGTTTGGAGAATGGATAGCACATGTTATTCGCACCAGGTACACAACTAGATGGTACCGTGTGCCAACTAGAGCTGGAACGAGTTCGCGGAGGGGCTAGGCACGGGCTTGGAGAATAATAAGGACATGTTTTATTCCCTCTCGGCAGAAAGACAGCCCCTAACTAGGCTGTGTGGGTTATTCAGGCAAGATAACGCCCGTGGGTTGCCGACATCCGATCTGGAGACCAAGTTGCTCCGGCTCTCCGTGTATAAATGTTCTAATAGAGGTTGGTAGCCTTCCTAGTATAAATGCTGCAATAGACCAGATTGAATCACCGAGATCAAGACGTGGACGCGTGTGTTTGGATCAATTTGGAATCTGGTTACGTAATGGCTATTTTCCCCTATTTGGTACTTCTCACCTCTATTCAGTGGGGTGAGTCGGATCATATCAACGAAATATCTTGAGCCATGCTGGAGAGTCGTCATCAAGGCGTTGTAATTTCAGAATCCTAGATGCCCACGGAATTAATCGACTCCTGGTGCATCATGCACGATTGAATTGAGGCAACGCGCCGTTGGTGAGAAAACGGCGTGAAGATCGCATGTTTCCTTAGTATTAGAGTGCCCTGGGCATTGGGCCACGGCGACGCGAAGAATGCATGTCGAGAGTCCACCGTTACGCAATCAGATACGTTGCCACTCCCGAGTTTCACTTAATGGTACGATTGACCGTTCACGGAGGGTTGTATGTTCAAAATAGCTTTTTTTTCGAACTACAAGAATGTGCTTATGCTATGCCACCGTCCCCCCACTGTAGCATTGAATCACAAGTTGATAGACAGAGGTTGCGAAGACAGAGGTTGCGAACCCACTCTTTACCTTTCCCGGTCTAGCCGCGGGCCTTGATCCTCCGCTCCTAGGGGTGCCACGGTTCGGTTCGGTTTGGTTCTGAGGCCATTTTTTGGGACCAGAACCAGAACCGGTTCACATTTTGACAATAGTGTCGAACCAGAACCGAACCAGACTCCAAATATGTGTAGCCAATTTTCCTTTTCTTTTTTTCTTTTGGTGGAGCCGCCCGTAGCTTTCGCTGGGTAGGTTTGCTACCTGGGGGTTTGAGTGTGGGGGGGGGGGGGTTGTCCCCCGAGGAGAGAGGTTGTGCCTGTTGCTTGTGGTCTTGTTAGTGTTAAGTACTGCCTTCTGAGACTCCACCGCGGGGGAATGCATTTACGCACTTTCCGGGATTGTCCCTTGAGTGTGGGGCTCGCGCCGATCCGGAGGATCGGGAATACCCACTAAAACCCCGTTGGTTTTTAGCCAGTTCTCAGGAAGGTCTATGTCTGTGTTCAGGAGGTTCTTCCATGTCTCAAGCGCGATATTTTCTGGGAGGGCCTTTGTGCCGTATTTTTTCTTGTTAGTTAGTATTTTGTTGCTTTTGTCATATCCATACAATCCCGACCTCTGCTCCGGGCTCCCGGAACTCCGAACCTGACTTCTGGAGCCCTACTTCCCTTCCGTCACCTTCTCCTTGCCGACTCCCAAGAGGTTATCCCACCTCCGGCTCCAACACCACCTTTGGTCCGACTCCAGAACATTCCGGGTCCGACCCCAACCTCGACACCTTCCAGACGAGCATGCAACACCTATGTTCCCGACTCCGGACCTCTGCTCCGGAATCCTGTTTGCGTCTCCATCTCCGGAACCTCCGGTCTCAGCTCCAACCTCGGACTTTGACCCCACCTCCGCTTATACCCATTGTATTGGTTAGCTCATTCCATTTAATTACGTTTGCCAATATTCCAGAGTTTAACCTCTGAGTTCGGACTTTCCGGACTTACTCCGGACCTTGCAACTATTGCATTGTCCATTTCAATTCCGCTATTCTCCCTCATTCCTATTTGGGCTGCTGCTTCCTTCTATTCAGTCAGCTAGCCATTCCCAACTCCCAACCTCCTTCCTTCTTGGGCCTTGGCCCTTCATTCCTCCTTTGGGAAACACCATTGAGTCAAACACTTGACCCTCGGTGTTGTTCCTCTTTCCATCTCCCTTTGTCTCCTTTTGTCCTACCCTTGTTCCTTTTGATTCCGGACCCTCCTTATATACAATGTACCTAGTAACTTGTAACCTCAGTCCGAAATCGACATGAATTCCCCCCAAGAGACTTTCCCTCTGCTAGATCCGAAATTAGGGACCCCTAGGACAACCAGCAATGGCACAGCGCTCCGCCTGAGTCGCTGAGGCCGAGGTCCTTCCACGCTAAGTCTCCGATTCCACTCCGGAGTCGTCCAAATCCGCCCATTCTAACAGCTTTGTAGTCTGTCGTTAATGGCAGATCTTATGATATTATGGGCTTCTGTTCTCGATATTTTAATTTGGTTATCGGCATTGCTGTTGATGACTCTGCAGCAGCGTAGTTTCCAGATTTGCCATGCCCCCTTGGGTATGAGGATTTTTAGGGCTCTGGAGTCTCCCGGTCTAGCAAGCCCTTCTTTGTCCTTGAGGTTCCATAGCAGGGTCGCCATTATGAGTGAGGTATTCATATTTGTAGGCCAGGATATTCTTTTCCAGGTGCAGAGGGATTTGATGGTGTCCCATACAGTTTGGCTTTGGTTGTGCAGGCATGTCACGACCCGGCATTCCCCGGAGTCAGACAACCTCCTCCCCGAACTTTTCCCATGCCTGAACACCCCCTGCACACTCTGCTCGCTGCCCATCGCCGTCTAACCACTTCCTGCCACTTCTCCACGACCCCTCTCCTAATTGTCGTTGAATGACCTAGCAGTGCAGAGCACCACGACCTGTTGTCCCATGTTTTGCTGCACCCTGTTATCTTGCAGCAAAGGTCATGTTTGACCTTTGCTGTCTTAAACACGTACTTCTTGTTTGTTTTCCTTTCTCTTTTCTCCACCTGCAATCTCCATGAGATCTGGTGACTTATTCTCTATTCAGTTTCTGTCAGGGCACATCCACCCAACCCGGCTCCACCCGCCCTCACCCAGTATCCCACCTATCTCCATTTCCCCACCCTCCATCATCATCCTCCATTTCTCATCCTTCTTTCCTTTTATTCTCTATTCTATTTCTATCTACACAGATGACCTTTCCCCATTCTATGTATCATTGACCCACCCACAACGTGTGCATGACACACCCAGCCCCAGGCTTCATGGTGCAACCCAGCACACATGCATGCAGCACACACCCTTGGGATCCCCCATGGGGACACCCAGGTGACTGTGGCTGTATGCAGGGTGAT